GAGGGAGGGAGGGGAGGGAAAGAGGCGGGAGGACGGAGAGCTTAGTGTCATGTTTGTTAATGGAGGAGGCGGTAACGCTGCCGCTTGCTCTCGCTCTCCCGCCCGTGTGTGTAGTCTGGAAAGGGGCGTGTGGGTGTCTGAGAGTCTTGGCTATTAGAAAAAGAGAGGAAGGCGGGGGTGGAGTGGCGGGGTGTAAACGGAACAGCGCCATTTTGTGCCCTCCCACCTCTTTGCTTTTATTCATTTCCCTCTTAGCCACAGAACAGCTGAAGTAGCCTGCTCAGGTTGCTCTTTATTACTCCCAAGCAGCTCGCGGAAGCTACAGTATTTTGCCGGCCGCTGGCCCGCGGAGTGAGTGGAAAAAGGAGTCAGTCTTGGAAACAAGTGTTGAGGGGAAGGAGGTCTCCTGACGCGCGAGTGTGTGTTAAGTGAATGGCTTCCCTTAAATTAAGTCCCCTTATCGGATTAGTTACGTCTTAGGGCCGAAAAGGGCACGAGGCGGGCTGTTGGCCTGGTGGGCCCCCTGGGCCCCTAATTGCGGGAAGGGCAATCCTACGTGCGAGTTAGTCTCGCTCGTGGCTATTAAGGCACGCTGCTAAATTTGTATTGTTCCAAAACCTGTCTGATCAGAATGACTGTGCGAAAACCAGACAGAAGTGTCTAGGTAATTTAAGTTAAACTCTTTTTATCGAAAACATGATCATAACAAAGTAGAGGTGCGCGTACGACTGCAACCGCAAGTGTAATAAAATTTGGGCAAATCAAATTTAAAATATTTAAAAATAGTAATATATCATATAACCACAATTAACCTTTGCTATCTGATGCTTTTAATTGCTGAGTTTTTTTTTCTGTTCTCTTTTAATCCTGAACAAGGTGTAAGTCCCAAATAATGCAGTTGAATGTATTTCCAGGTAAGCATGCTTGGAATTGTGCTACATATAGAATATACTTGATGGGCCAGGAAAAAAAAACACCAGCTGAAGGAGCTGAGTAACATACAGTATTTCACAGAGTTCATTCCTTCCTTCTTCATTGTTATTGCTACCCCACTTGTTCAGCCAGCATAGCCTTCGGAATGGCTTAATTCATAAAAATAAGTATTCAAATAAAAAAATAATATTCAGCAATCAATAAAATGCCAGCAAAAAATAATATAAATAATGACCTAAGAAAACTAATATATGTCAACATTTAAGCAAGGTTATCAGGCTGCTTAAATATTTAGAAATAAATTTGCACTATAGTAGAACAGGATTCATAGAATAATGGACTTGGAAGGGGACCTGTAAGGCCACTGAGTCTCTGCTCAATGCAGGAATCCAAGTTGAAGTATATGTGACACAGTTTTCTCTTGAATGCTTCCAGTGTTCAAGTGCTCATCACCTCCTGAGGTAATTGGTTTCATTGTACTAGTGGTCTTAACAGGAAGTTTTCCCAGGTATTCAACCAAAAACTGATTTCCTGTAACTTGAGCCCATTATTGTTTGTCCTGTACTCTGGGATGATTAACAGACCCTGCACCTCTGATAATCTTTCTAATATTTTAAGAATGCTACCACACCATCACAGAATGGTTTCCTATAGGCAAAGATGTAAAACAAGAGTGCATGTTATTCCCTTATCAGTTCAATCTGTATGCAGAAAGTGTCACGCAGAAAGCCAGACTAGATTCAGATGAAGAGTGAAAATTGGTGAAAGAAACATCAGTAATTTAAGATATGCAGATGACATATTCTTACTGGCAGAAAGCAGCAATGACTTGAAACAACTGTTAGGGAAAGTGAAAGAAGAAACTGCTAAAAAGCAGGACTGCAATTGAACACTAAGAAGACAAAAATCATGAGTAGAGACAACCTATACATCTTAAATGCTGACAGTGAACTAGTTGAAATAGTAAAAGATTTTGTATACCTTGGTTCAACCATCAATCAAAATGGAGACTGCAGCTAAGAAATCAGAAGAAGACTGAGACTCATAAGGGCAGCAATTAAGGAATGAGGAAAGAGAGTCAAGTGTAAGGATGTGTCAATGGTGACCAAGACCAAGGTCATCTACACTCATGTATTCTGAATCAGCAAGTATGGGTTTGAAAACTAGACAGGAAAGAAATTTGACAGGAAGAAAAATTATTCATTTGAAGTATGGTTCTGAAAGAGAGCTTTGCAGATACCCTGGATTGCCAAAAAGTTGAAAACGAGGATACTAGAACAAATGAAGCCTGAATTATCTTTGAGATGAAACTAAGGCTGCCGTACTTTGGGCACACCATGAGACAACAAGATTTTCTGTAAAAGACAATAATGCTGGGAAATGATAAATGCTGTGAGAAATTAGGAAAACCAAATATGTGATGGATTGATTCCCTAGCAGGACTGTTGAGGAGAGGGCATGTTGGAGATTAGAGATGGGCACGAACCTTGGTTCAGAGGTTTGTGATGGTTTATGCAATGCCTCTATTCATGGTTCCCAGCTGTGCTTCCTTCCTCCACCTCTGCAAACAGCTGCCCACTCAGATGAGGAGGTGGGGCAGGGATTCCTGCAGCACTGCCTTGGAGTGGGCAGCTGCCAGAGAAGGGGGAAGAGGGAAGCACAGCTGTGAATGGTGAGTGGGCAGTCATGCAGAGGAGGCAGGCAGGGAAGTGCATATTACCCAGGGAATGGCCAAGCGCCCTGAAGAGGCGGGAAGGGGAAATACAGGGCGCCCACACAATGCCTGTGTGGGTGTGGCACCGAACGTGCATCAACCTTTGAACTAAGGTTTGTGCCCATCTGTATTGGAGATCTCTCATTCATAGGGTTGTTAGAAGTCCAGGCGATTTGATGGCATGTAAACGTCATCATGTAGTGTGATTGGGTTCTTTGTCTGTGGTAGGGGGGTCCTTCTTTTCAGCAGGAAAAAATAGAAGGAGACGAGGCTAACGGTACAAACAAAGGTTCTTTATTCTTTTTAACTTCTGGAATGTCAACGGAGAACGGATCTAAACTACTCAGTTCAGGCAACAATTTGTAACTTTTAACCTTATTCAAGTCCATAGTCCTTGTCTCTTTCATTCCTTCTTCATCCCAGACAGATTTGCCGTGGCCTTATTCCACGTTGGGAAACTCAAGACTGCACACATCCTCCCACAACAGGGATGCTTCACGTAGTTCCCCTCTAGATAGGGTAGGTAGCTTGTGGCACCAATATGGGTCCCCTTCTTCCCGATATCCTGCGCAAGTGGCACCGCTACCGTACTCCATCCTGATTTCACTTTTATCTTTCTCTTTTGGACTTGGGGGCGGGGGTCAGGTAACAGTCCTCCTCCTGTTCTAAGATTGGGAAACTCCCGCACTAATTCAATAGGTTTGTACCTTTGTAATTCTTTTTCCTCCGTCTGAGTACCCTTGTCTTCATTCTCCTTTCTATCATGTTCTCCTCTTCCCTCTCCTTCTTCCTCTTTTATCTCATCCCATCTCATTAAATCTAGCTCCTCCCACTTTCTATTCGGTCTACCCTCCGCCAAGAATACTTCCACAGCCTTGCTCCTCCCCATTTCTCCCTCTTCTATTTTAATCAATTCTCCTCCTGCACATCCAGCTATCATATCTTGTCTGCTCTCCGTGGAGGACAGCACATTATGCTGATCTCTTTCATATGTAGGGATGTGGTGGTGCTGTGGGTTAACCCATAGAAGCCTCTGTGCTGCAAGGTTGGAAGACCAGCAGTCATAAGATCGAATCCACGTGACGGAGTGAGCTCCCATCACTTGTCCAAGCTCCCGCCAACCTAGCAGTTTGAAAGCATGTAAAAAATGAGTAAATAAATAGGTACCACCTTGGTGGGAAGGTAACGGTATTCCGTGTCTAGTCATGCTGGCCACGTGACCATGAAAACTGTGTACGGACATACACTGGCTCTACGACTTGGAAACAGGGATGAGCACCAGCCCCTAGAGTCAGACATGACTGGACTAAATGTCAAGGGGAACCTTTACCTTTACCTAAACATCATCATCATATCTCACCTCAGTTCCCTCCCCCCGCAAATCCAAACATACCCACTTTTTTCAGTCTTTCATCATAGGGCTTTATTTAGAATCCCCTGTTTTGAACTTGTTGCCCTCCTCTGAACTTGTTCCAGTGTCAGCATCCTTCTTAAAGCGCAGTGTTCACAACTGGACAACAGTACTCAAGAGGAGGCCTAACCAGTGTCAAATAGAAAAGAACTAGTATTTCACGGGATTTGGAGAACATGTTTGTGTTACTGCAGTCTCAAATAGCATTTTCCTTTTTTTTACAACCCATTTGCTGTATTGGCTCATATTCTGTTTGTGATCTACAACAAATCTAAGATTGTTCTTGCATATAGTATTACTGAGTCAAGTATCCCTCATCTTGTAACTGTGTGTTTGTTCTTCCCCCAGCTATAGAACTTTGCACTCATCCCTGTTAAACTTTATTCTGTTATTTTCAGTCCAATGCTCAAACCTCTCAAGTTATATTGGAATTTTATTTCTGTCTTCCAGGGTATTAGCTGTTCCATTCAATTTTGTGTCATCTGCAAATATGCTAAGCATTTCTTTCACCCCCTCATTCAAGTCATTAATAAAAATGTTGAAGAGCACTGGGACAAGGAATGAGTTTTGTGGTAGTCCACTTGTTACCTCCTCCCAGTGTGAGAAGTAGCCACCAGTAAGCATTTTCTGAATATGGTTTTGTAATCAGCTGTGTATCCATCTGTTAACTGCTATCCAGTCCATCCCTAGC